GAGCATACTCACATTCTCTGCAACAGGCAGATGCTGAATTGCTGTTGACAGAACAATAGGTCAAGTGTCAGAGATGCCTTCTGGTGAACACCAAGAGTAACTAACAACAATAGAAGTAAGCTAACCCTGGACCATCTTCTGAAGAGCCTCGATTGCCAATGTATCTGAAGTTACAAAAACAGGATTCCGTGTCATTATCTTTGATACTACCGTCTGCTCTGGCCTCAATCCTTCTGCAATCACCCTGGTGGCAATATCCTGCCAACAAACAATGTATATAATAAAGGTAAAAGCCTACAAATGCTCCTCCCCAACCCCAAACCAAAAAGAAAAATAAAGAAGAAAGCATTGACCAACAATAAATATCACAAGAATGAAACCTTGTCAGTAATAATTCCTGAAAGCAAAGCATTAGCATCAGTCAACAAAACTGCATCAACACGGCGAGCTGCCATACGCCTGCAGGCATCAGACACAGTTGTCCCCTCCGGAATTGTGAGTGCTTTTGACAACCTAAGCTTCTTCACCGTCCTCTCCCCTCCAACAGACCTTAATATTTTCAACAACAGTCGCAATCAGCGGACCCCTAGAGCACATCTTTTTGTTTAATAAAACTAAAGCAACCAGTATGGTTCATACATAGACGACTACATAAATTATATGCGTACACGATTAACCGAGTAAACTCGTTTCTTATTATAATTCTTTCCTACCTAACGAGAAAAAACTAGTCACTAGAAAACATAGGAATCCAATCATCAATGGACTATTTCCGCAATAAACAAACAGGCAACCGATAAACGATAAAGATAAGATAAAAATATTACGTCTGGGGAGGAGAAGAAGGCTTAGATTGATTTCCATTAGCGGCGCTCCCGTTATCCGACTGCACGGATTTCTTGACCGTCGACGGTCCTCGCTTTTGACTCAAACTAGTCCTCTTGGGATGAGGAGGCATCACCTGGCTGCTCATCTCACCAAATTCAGGATTTCTATTTCCTTGTAACTTTCTCGTTATTTGACTGATTGGACTATATATATAAATGAAACCCTAGATCGAGGATATCTCCGATAAAGAGAAAGAAAATCAGAGAGAGAGAGAGAGAGAGAGATAGATTAGGGTTTAGGTGAAAGACTTTTCACCTCCGAAGCCGCTCTAACCCTCCTCTCTCTCCCCTTGGTCGGCTATGGAGGGAGGTAAGGGAAGAAGATGAATGGCCTTTTCCCACCAGCCTAAGGGCAGATATTTGAAATGGTGGAAAATTAAAATGTTAAGTTTTTTAAATTTATTATAAAAAATTTGCGGACAAGAAATTGGGATTTTAGCAATTAATAAACTAACAGTGACCACTGTGTTTTGGAGCGAAATTGGGTTCCTACTTACTGGTTGTACCAGTCACTGTCACGCACGTGTACCTCACGCCCCAAGCAATATCTATTTCTTTTATTTATTTTTTTTTAAACTCGTATATATGCAAATTATTACATTATAAAACAGAGAAAAAAAATTGTAAAAATATAAGATAAATGAAAATATAATAATTGCA